CTCCCCTCCCCGCCAATCGGGGCACCCGGGGTCAAATGGAAGGGGGGGGGGGGCGGGGGGGGGGGGGGGGGCAGGAACGACAGCGCCGTCAGCCGCGGCGCGTCGATGAGCGCCAGGACTGAGGGGATGACCACCTGGGCGAGCAACAGCAGCAACACCAGCAGCAACATGAGGAGCGGGGCCTCGTCCCGCCTGGCCAGCGGCTTCATGGCGGCGGTGTCCGGGGGCGGGGGCGGCGCCGCCGGCGGCGGGCGGGAGCAGGTGGTTGATGCGAGCCCGTCCTCTTCCGCTGCTAGTACGTCTGGGTCGGCGGAGAAGGTGATGTTATAGTCGTGGGTGAAATGGAAACTTATCGGCGGCTACATGGCCGAAAGGTTTGCATCAGACCGATGACAAACATTGTTGGTTTTGAAGGGGTGGGGGTGATCTCGTTGTCGATCATTATAACGTCAGGGAGGCGTTTTCATTGAAAAGGGTGTGCGCACCGCTTTTGATGCTGGTCTTGCAACAATAAATTCACGGGGTGCTTGTTCCACGGAGAGAAGGAGGTGCGGTGTTTTTCAACCTTCCAGACCCCCGAACATTCACCAAATTGTCAAAAATATTTGATGTTATAATTTTGATTACCTGACTTTGGAAGCAAAAAAATATATTTTCCTCAAGGTCAGGAAAGCAATGAGCTCTGCTGTAAACCCAGACGAGACTTGTGTTTTCCAGTCGGAGGTCGATTTGACTTGGATATTCGAACCTCGTTAATTCTGGACCTGATCACCCGCCCGTGACGGCGGGTTCTGCTGTAGCTTCATCTGAGTTCACGCGTAATTCCCTATCCTGTCGTGTCACTTTTGAAACAAAAAGTCCATCCCCGCCCGAGCTCCTCCGGTTGAGTTTCACAAAATATACCGCTATGAAAGATCCCGCCCCGTCATATTTTCACCACGGGTAACCGCAAGACGACACGTCATTTTTCCAACCCGATCGCCCCAACAGTGGAACAAGATCGTGAAGGGGCTGAAGAGGATGGGTCCCTCCAGGCGAGGAGGAAAGGGCGGGCGGGGGGGGGGTGGCAGCCTCGGTGACGGGGAAGGGTCGGCCACGTTCGACGAGCGGGGAGAAGAGACGGAGGAGGGCTTTGCCGCGAGGAAAGTGTCGTTGTTCGACGAGGAAGGAAGAGGAGGAGGGAGGAGGGACGACCGTGACTCCTGCTACGATGACGACGACGACGTCGAAGACGACGAGGATGACGATGATGCAGATGATGTCGACCTGGCGGAGTGGGAGATCTCGAGGGTTGGCAAGCGGGCAGGCGATGCCCGGTGAGTTGGTTGTTTTTTGTGTTTTTTGTGTTGTTGGCATCGACCCGCGCTAACCGGCTGACCAATGAATTTTGCCTCAGTGCGGTTGAAAACACGAAATGCTTCCATGGGCCATGATCTGTGGGTGGGTGGGTGGGTGCCTGTGTTGTGCTTCGATTATCGTCGCCCGCGCTGATCGGCTGGCCAATGATATGATGTCGATCTTTAGTATGGTTCAATCCCCTGTAGCATAAAGCGATCCCGCAAGACGCCTTCGCATGCTGCATACGCAGCGCAGATGAGTTACGTGACCTGGAAACATACGTCGCCACAGCAAGTGTTTCTAGGCCAAACGGCATCCTCTGCATGCAGGACTGACTCGGGCGTATTGATGGCTGTGACAGGATACATAATTTTATCTGTGCGCGCGCAAAGTAGACAAGGCACCCGGGAACTGATTCTTCTTTTGTACGCTCCTTTCGCGTGCTGTTTGTATTTATTGTGTTCGGGGGGGGGGGGGGGGGGGGTTCAGGTATGTGGTGCAGCTGAGGCAACCGTCCTCGGGCTCTTTCCTGCTCCTCGGCACGACCGACGCCCTCTTGTACGAGGAGTGGGTGGAAGACATCTTGTACGTCCAACAGAGGTGGGAAGGAATGATTGATTCAATTTCCGTCGACTTTTTGTCGGCATTTGTGCCCTGTGTGCGTTGGTGGAAGACCATGGTGCCCTTGTTGTTGCAGCGCTGGCTGCGGCTGCTGTATGTGGCAGCAGCCCCTGCCGATTTTGCTCATCCTGGCCTGGTACTGAAGAAGATGATGCTGGCGTTGGCTCTCTGGTTTCGCTTTGCATTCCTTTCCAGTGTAGCCCCCACGCCTGTCATGTCACGCTGGATCTCGTATTCCTGCCTTGCTGCTGCTGCTGCTGCTGCGGCTGCCACTGCCACTGCCACTGCCACCAGCAAGACACACGAAACCGTACAGCACCTAATAGACAACCCCCAATATCACGGTGACACAAACAAATAACCCGTGCCCCGCCCGTCCCCCACCGCCAAACTACACACTTCCATCACCACCAAAAAGAACCCTCGCTCTGGAGTGGACCCGGCGCTTCCGCTCGAAGATGTCCAAGGACTCTTCCCCGCCCCTGTCCGCCTTCAAGCTCCTGCCGGACCGCGACTGGAACCGCGAGTGGGAGGCGGCGTGCTCGCTCACGGGCGGGGGGCGCGGCGGGCGGGACGCCCGCGTGACCATCGCCCTGGGGCAGCAGTTCCGGGCCTTCGCCGGGGCCGTGGCGGGGGCGGCGATGCGGGCGAGCCTGCGGCAGCGGCAGCAGTCGTCGTGGCCGTCGCCGTCGCAAGACGAGGGGTGGGAGTCGCTGGCGCCGCTGCGGCCCATGGAGGCGGAGGATAAAGCGAACGGAGGTGGAGATACGCACACCGGTACGTACTCATAGTCGTGCATGCCGTAGTTGTTAGACCATTGACCTCGCATCCCTACAAAGCCGGGACGGAGCACGCCGGGTTCTCACCGGACCAGGCTCTCACATCACCAAGCGCGAAGCGCCGTGAGGTATTTGGCGAGTCGCATGAAGGGTGAGCTGCATCCTGCTAAGGGTGTTCGGCATCTTGTGCTTACTTCCTTGCGTACGGATGACAGCTACGTATGACTTAATTTATTTTCTGGTGCTTTCACTTCCAGAGACAGTTGTAAGCACTGTGTAACTGCCTCGAGGATGCTTGACCATTTTTAACACAACGTGGTGCGATCATCCCCCGTTGCGCGGAGTGAGGGTTCTCCACCCCGCACAACATGATCTACTCGACCACCATTATGGTTACCGCCAAAAAAAAAAACGAGGTAAAAAAAAAAACGGTAACCTGGTTGCCGAGTTCACGAAGTGAATTGGCTTGTTTTACGACGTCGTTGCCAAGCGACGAAAACCCAATCCCGATGGCAAACACCGAGGGGGGGGCTTGTTTTACAACGTCGTTGCTAAGCGAGAAAACCCAACCCCGATGGCAAACACCGGGGGCGGCGGCTTGTTTTACAACGTCGTTGCCAACCGACGAAAACCCAAACCCCTATGGCAAACAAGGCCGAGGGGGGGGTAGAGGTCCTCGTGGGGAACGACGACGTAGGGACAAGGAGTCTTGCTTATGTTGAGAACCGGAGGGGATCTAGTTGCGTTTGCTGGCGGAAGAAGCGAACTCTGGTGTTGTTTTGGTTGGATGTTGGCGTGTTTGCAAACGTTGCGTGGTTTGCCATCTTTTTGAGGACGGAACGACAGGCCGCCGGTCCTGCCGTTGAAAAAGTACCCTGCGTGTTCGTCTGCGGCTTCCCCTCTTGACGGCAGGAGTCGTTTTGGCTGCGGCTGCTGTTGTGTTCGTTCCAAGTGTCCTCATCCACCCGCTTGTTGCAAAGGCCCGCGGCTAGCCGTTCGAAGTTCTTGCCGTACCCTCTTGTGCTGTTTTTTCTTAGAAAATGGTACGTACGACGTACTGTTTTGTGACGACACGGCCGCCTCGTTTTTCTCGCAATACAGAAAATAGCTGCTGCGTTTTTCTGTTGTTTGTTCTTCTGTTTCACCGCCACCGTCGTGTAGGGGACGTCAGGGCCGCCCTGTCCCGGTCGACTCCGGACGATTGCTGGAGCTTCCTGATGGGAAACGTGGCGTTCGTGCTGGCGCCGCGGGGCCCTGGGGGCGGGTACAAGACGCACAAGCGGCTCGGGGCGGAGCTGAAGGGGGCCCAGGTTCTCAGGTGCGTGGGGGAAATGACGAAAACGGTTTGTGTGGCCTGTGGTTTTGTGGCCTCGACAGCACCTCACCAGACTCACCAGGACGTTCTTTTGGTATTTCCTATGTTCATCTCCCCAACATCGTGGCCAATTTCCATCCACTGCCCCCCCCCCCCCCCCCTCTGATACCTTGGGATGTTGGTGTTGTGCGATCGCGGTCTTGATCGCTTCTCTGTACCAACTAGACGCGGCTCTCATGCGCGTGCCCACCACCACCACCACCACCTTCCTTTGCGGTGAGCAGGCGAGCGGTCGAGCGGAGGGTCCTCAGCGGTGTCGGCAGCGGCGGCGCCGGCCCGGAGCTGGTGAACGCCCTTGCCCCGCTATCGTGCGTGGTGGACCTCTACGGGTTTCGTGCAGCGGCGGTGGCGTTGCCCGCCTTTATGCCCCGCACAAAAAGCAAACAGAAGCTCCGCGCAAGGCCGAAGCTCCTTGGGTGGGTTTTCCCCCATGTGTGGTTCTCGTATT